CCGGCTGTGGGAGCTGCGGAGGCGCGGAGGCTCAGCCTGATGCACGTAAAGGAGTCGGCGCGTGCTGGTCCCGGGCGGCGCCTCCTTGGTCCCCAGAATCAAGAATTGTCCCCCCACCTCCCCAACCGCAGGAACAACTCGGGTTGTAGCGGAAACCGGGGCAACCTTTGTTGGGGCTCCAGCAAAGGAGCTGAGGCCCTGAGATTCCCTCTCCTGCTCCGCCTGCAGGAGCCGCCGCAAAAACCCGCGCACCACCACCTACCAGAACCCGGCGGAGTCTGCGCCTGCGCCCTGGCGAGGCGGGGCCTCGGAGAGCCAAGTCCAGTCCCCAAGGTTCAGACTTAACCCTGCCAGTCACACGTCCTTGGGCGAGGACGCGCTCCTTAGGGCTGGACAATTCTGTCTTCTTTTCTTTAAACGTATTTTTATTGATTTCAGAGAGGAAGAGAGAGGTAGAGAGAGAAACATCAATGATGAAGAGAATCATTGGTTCTGCCTCCTGCACTGGGGAGCCCGCCTGCAACCCGGGCATGTGCCCTGACTGGGAATCCAACCCTCCTGGTTCTTAGGCCCACGCTCAACCACTGAGCCACGCCAGCCGAATTTGCATTTTTATACACCAATAATGAACTCTCAGAAAGAGAAACCAAGAATACAATCGTATTTACCATTGTAACAAAACAAAAAAATAAGGTGCCTAGCCCGGCCCACGTGGCTCAGTGGTTGAGCGTCCACCAAGAGGTCACCAGTTGGATTTCCAGTCACAGCACATGCTGGGGTTGCAGGCACGATCCCCAGTGTGGGAGCAGGCAGGAGGCAGCCAGTTGATATTTCTCTCTCATCCATGTTTCTATCTCTCTATCCCCCTCCCTTCCCTCAATTAAATATATATATATACTGAGTGGCCAGATTATTATGACCACCTGACGTTTGTAGGCAAATTAGCTATAATTTCGCGCTGAAGTTGCTAGAGGGCCAGATCATTATAAATGTCTGAATAGCACAACATACCCAAGTATCGTTGTTGATCAAGTTCATCCTATCATGTTGATGGCATATCCCAATGGAGATGGCTTCTTCCAACAAGACAATGCGCCAAGCCACGGTGCTCGTATTGTGCAGGAGTGGTTTTAAGAACATGAGGGAGACTTTACCTTGCTTAGGTGGCCCCCACAATCACCAGGTCTCAATCCAATTGAGCATTTGTGGGACGAAGTTAAAAGAGCCATCAGGGCCCTAACTGGTTTGGCTCAGTGGATAGAGCATCAGCCTGCAGACTGAAGGGTCCCAGGTTCGATTCTGGTCAAGGGCATGTACCTTGGTTGCGGGCACATACCCAGTAGGAAGTGTGCAGGAGGCAGTTGGGCTTCTTCCAACAAGACAATGTGCCATGCCATGGTGCTTGTATTGTGCAGGAGTGGTTTCAAGAACATGAGGGAGACTTTACCTTGCTTAGGTGGCCCCCACAATCACCAGATCTCAATCCAATTGAGCATTTGTGGGACGAAGTTAAAAGAGCCATCAGGCAGCTGGTTCCACAACCATCAAATCTCACAGAACTGGACAGTGCTATTCATCAGGCATGGTGTCAGATTCCTCGCATCACCTTTCAACATCTCGTGGAGTCAATGCCAAGAAGAATCGCCGCAGTATTGAAGGCAAAAGGTGGCCCAAGGAAGTACTGATGGGATGGTCATAATAATCTGCCCATTCAGTGTGTGTATGTATATAAATATATAAATAAATATATAATCTTATATAACTCAACACTAGGAAAACAAACAATCCGATTTTAAAATGGGCAAAGGAGCCCTAGCTGGTGTGGCTCAGTTGGTTGGAAGCATTGTCTCATACAGCAAAAGTTGGTGGGTTTGATTCCGGGTCCAGACCCAGGCAAGAGGAAACCAAACCAATCAATGTTTCTCTCTCTCTCTCTCTCTCTCTCTCTCTCTCTCTCTCTCTCTCCTTTCTATCTCTAAAATCAATTTTAAAACAATAATAAAATAAAAAATGGTCAAAGGACCTGAATAGGCACTTCTCCAAAGAGGACGTGCAGGTGGCCTATAGACATATGAAAAAATGCTCAATGTCACTAGTCATCACAGAGATGCAAATTAAAGCTACAATGAGGTATCACCTCATACCTGTCATAATGAATACCATCAATAAATCAACAAACAACAAGTGCTGGCGAGGATGTGGAGAAAAGGGAACCCTAGTACACTGCTGGTGAGAATGCAGACTGGTGCAGCCATTATGGAAAACAGTATGGAGTTTCCTTATGACCCAGCAATCCCACTTCTGGGAATATATCCTAAGAAATCTGAAACACCAATCAGAAAGGATATATGCACCCCTATGTTCATAGCCAGTATCTAGAAATAGCTCAAATGCCCATCAGTAGATGAGTGGATAAAAGAAGATGTAGTACATTGCCCAGCTGGCATGGCTCAATGGTTGAGTGTCAACCTATGAACCAGGAGGTCATGGTTCGATTCCTGGTCAGGGCACATGCCCTTGGTTTCCGGCTGAATCACCAGTAGGGGGCATGCAGGAGGCAGCCTATTAATGATTCTCTCTCATTATTGATATTTCTATCTCTCACTCTCCCGTCTTCTCTGAAATAAATAAAAACATAAAATCTGTTTGTTGTCCCGGTGCACAGGACAACAAACTGAGCCACAGCAGCCAGAGCTTAATTAGGCCAGTTTTTACAGAAGAAATTATGCCTCTGATCATTTGATCCTATCTATGTAAAACTAGATTTTTTAAAAAGGTAATATGTGATCAAAGTGAATTTTCTCCCTAAGGCCTAAATAAAGAGAAAGCAGTTTCCCATTTAAAAAAGAAAAAAATCCCAGCCAGTGTGGTTCAGTGGCTGAGCATCAACCTATGAATGAACCAAGAGGTCACGGTTCCATTTCCGGTCAGGGCACATGCCCAGGTTTCATCACTAGTTTCACCATGGTTAATTGGAAATGGTTTCCGTCTATCTAATTCATAGAGATGCCTATCTATATGAACTAATGCAATAAAATGAAGATCTACTTTTTCATCTATATTTGGTGCCTCAGTCTGACCTTCATGGGCACTGGTCTCATGAGTAACTCGAATAGCGTCATAGTTCTCCAGGTATCTGGCTCGTTCTTCAGGGCTCATTGACACAGATTCCTCTAGGAATTTCTTCAAGGTTGATCCAGATTCAAAATGCATCTTGCCTTTATTGTTGGAAATAGCATGGATCAGTCCAATTGTTCCACAGGCATTGCTGATTGTTTGCTTCATGAAATATACTGACGATTTAACATCTTGTCCCTGAGATTTTATTTTTTCCTCCTCTTCTGTTCTGAATACTTCATACTTTTCTGTAATAGGGAAGAGAAGTAATACTGCACACACTGGTCTTGGTACCATGCTAAGGAGTTCAGGATCCATTCCATATACATCAACAAATTGCCATTTAGGATGCAGACCTAATTGTTTGAGAAACTGGTTGGTGACCTCGGGGTTGGCCTCCAGCGGCAGCCAGCGGTGTCGCTCCATGGCAGCTCAGCCTGGCCACTCACCAGCTCTGACAGCCTTCGCGGTCGCCCTGAATCCATTTATTAATATGGTGGTTGCAAATGGGGATTTTTCTCAATATATTATTCCTTCTATATTTATGAGTTGATAATCTTCTGTGAAGAGCTTGTCTCCCTCCCCCTCCTCTCTTTAAAAAGACTAGTATTGCCCAGCCGGGTATGGCTTAGCGGTTGAGTGCTGACCCAGGAATCAAGAAGTCACCGGTTCGATTCCCAGTCAGGGCATATGCCCGGGTTGCGGGTATGGGCGAGAGGCAGCCAATCAATGATTCTCTCTCATCATTGATGTTTCTATTTCCCTCTCCCTCTCCCTTCCTCTCTGAAATCAATAAAAATACTTAAAAAAAAAAAAAAAGAGCAACTGGACTTAAAAGAAAATTCTTTTTTAAAAAAAAAAGATTCGTATTGTCCTAGCCAGTTTGGCCCAAGAGTTGGAGCATTGTCCCCCAGACTGAAGGTTCCTGGGTTCAATTCCAGTCCAGGGCGCATACCTTGGTTGCAGGCTCAATCCCTGGCCCTGGTTGGGGCATGTGCCAGAGGCCAATCTATGTGTCTCTCTCACACTAATGTTTCTATCTCTCGCTGTCTCTCCCCCTCCATTTCACTCTCTCTAAACAATGAAAAAAATTTCCTCAAGTGAGGATTAACAACAACAAAAGATTAGTACCATTGTATTTGATGTATTGTAATCTGTGGCCACTATTATCTACATTATTGCTCAAATCTATACTAATAAAAGGGTATAGCCAGCGGTCCTGGATTGCAAGAGGTATGTCTGACTGCCGGTACTCGGACATCCCCTGAGGGGACCCGGATTGGAGAGGGTGCAGACTGGGCTGAGGGACCCCCCACACCCGTGCACAAATTTTGTGCACCAGGCTTCTAGTTGTCTCACATTTGGTCAGTGGGAGTCCTTATATGTTTAACTTTTATTTACTTTAAAATATTTTATTGATTTCAGAGAGGGAGAGAGAGACAGAAACATTAATGATGAGAAAGAATCCTTGATCAGCTGCCTTCTGCACATCCCCTACTGGGAATCGAGCCCACATGTCCAGCATGTGCCCTGACTGGGAATCGAACCATGACCTTCTGGTTCATAGGTCACCACTCAACCACTGAGCCACACCAGCTGGGCTTTTAAATGTTTTCCATCATTCATGTTATACATTATTATTAGCATAAACTTGGAAAAGACCAAAAAGAAGTTTTAAATGCCAGTTGAAGATTGCAACTTATAATAGAGCATTTCTGATTTTATTCTTTTGTGTATACATATGTGTGTACATATATATATTAGAATATATAAATATAATCTTTCCCATTGACTTGAAGTTTTCCATTTACTTGTCAGCCTCTCCAACTACATAAAGTCCATGAGGATAGACTATGGCCCCTTTACCACTCTACATAAGTAGTGTTTGGTTCAGAACAAATACTCTGTAAATTAGTAGATGAGCAATCACTCACATCATATAAACATTTTATATATTGACTTTTTTCTGTTATTACATAAACATTTCTAAAAATATATTTTTATTGATTTCAGAGAGGAAGGGAGAAGGAGAGAGAGAGAGATAGAAACATCAATGATGAGAGAGAGAATCATTGACCAGCTGCCTCCTACAAGTCCCACACTGGGGATCAAACCCACATGTGCCATGACCTCCTGGTTCATATGCTCAACTACTGAGCCATGCTAGCTGGGCTACACAAACATTTTTACAGAGTTAAGGACTTTGAGCTGAGGAAAGTGAAACAATCAAAATGCTGTTTGCTACAAACTAGTTTGCCATTGAGGAGCAATAGATGGAAGAAAGAGCAGAAAGTGGACAGAGCTATAGTTTCAGTGAACTTTCTAGTAGAGAGAGACAATGGGAATATAGAATCTTGCCTGAGCCACTGCTGATGTTACTAGCTGGCTAGAGGGGAAGGGAGTGGATCTCAGAATTGACATCAACCAGATCTAGAAAGTCTGAAGGAGTTTCCCTCAGCCACAGTTTAAGGGCAGAGACACCTGACAAGGGCCCTGAAAATTGCCCAGAAACAGAGTTTAGCAGTGCTTCACACCTGCAGTACCAACTTAGGTATAATCAAACCTCCTCTTAGCCACAGCTTATGTTGTTATTTGCCTATCTTCTCTCATTTAAGTTCCCTAAAATAAAATATGAATTATATAACCCACTTCAGCATAGCTATGAAAATGAAGTAAAAAAGCTGAAGAGGAGGAGGAGGAAGGAGGAGAAGGAGAAGGAAGAAGAGAAGGAAGAGGAGGAGGAGGAGGAAGAAGAGGAGGAAGAGGAGGAAGGGGAGGAGGAGGAGGAGATGAAGAAGAAGAAGAAGAAGAAGAAGAAGAAGAAGAAGAAGAAGAAGAAGAAGAAGAAGAAGAAGAAGAAGGAGAAGAAGAAGGAGAAGAAAGAAAACATTGTTAAACATCTTAATGGTCAGGTCATAGTAGGGACTCACATGCTAGTTTTTTCACTCTCTATTTCCCAAGATATAGAGAAATAAGGAAAGAAAATGAGATGACATCACAAAAAAGCAAGACAGACTTTACTAAGAGATAATAAAAGCTAATGTGAATAAATGTAAATCAGCCCAGCTGGTGTGGCTCAGTGGGTGAGCATTGATCCATGAACCAGGAAGTCATGGTTCAATTCTGGTCAGGACATATGCTCGGGTTATGGGAGTTGCGGGCCATGCAGGAGGCAGCTGATCGATGGATGATTGTCTCTCATCATTGCTGTTTCTATCTCTATCTCTCACTCTCCCTTCCACTCTCTGAAATTAATAAAAACATTTTTTAAAAAATAGAAAGAAATAAATGTAAGTCATACTGGATGCCTGAAAAAAAAAGCTATCATTTTGATACTGTCAAAATGTCAATCTTTTCCAAGTTCTTTTGGAGTTTTAGAACAGTTCCAATCAAAATTTCAATAGTATTTCTTGAAAACTGGACAAAATTATTTTAAAGATCATCTGGAGGAAAAAATAAGCATCAGAATGAGAACAAAAAAAAAAAAAAAAAAAAAAAAAAAAAAGTAAAGAGGAGCATTTCCACTGCCAAATATTAACAATTCTAAGGTTATGGTAATTGTATGGTTTGCAGTGGTTCTCAACCTTCCTAATGCCGCGACCCTTTAATACAGTTCCTCATGTTGTGGTGACCCCCAATTTCATTGTTACAAATTGAACATAATTAAAGCATAGTGATTAAACACAAAAACAATATGTAATTATATATGTGTTTTTTCCGATGGTCTTAGGCGACCCCTGTGAAAGGGTCGTTCGACCCCCAAAGGGGTCGCGACCCACAAGTTGAGAATCACTGGTTTAGAGTATAGACAGTAATTAAAGGAACAAGATGTACTAGAAACAGACCCTTGCATAAATGATTTTTACTATGATAAAGAAGATATGCTAGCCAGCATGACTCAGTGGTTGATCTATGAACCAGGAGATCATGGTTTGATTCCTGGTCAGGGTATATGCCCGGGTTGTGGGTTCCATCCCCATTGTGGGTGTGCAAGAGGCAGCCAATCAATGATTCTCTCTCATCATTGATCTATCTATCTCTTCCTTCCTCTCTGAAATCAATGAAAAAATATTTTTTAAAAATAAAATATATTAAAAAAATTAACAGTGGAACACGGGGAAATTCCTGGAAAATGGATGATAGATTCCTAGTGTGTGTTTGGAGTATGAGTGGAGGGTGGTGGAAGGAGCACAGAGTGACAGAGGACCATAAACCAGTGATGGCGAACCTATGACACGCGTGTCAGAGGTGACACGCAAACTCATTTTTTTGGTTGATTTTTCTTTGTTAAATGGCATTTAAATATATAAAATAAATATCAAAAATATAAGTCTTTGTTTTACTATGGTTGCAAATATCAAAAAATTTCTGTATGTGACACGGCACCAGAGTTAAGTTAGGGTTTTTCAAAATGCTGACACGCCGAGCTCAAAAGGTTCGCCATCACTGCCATAAACTGTGGATAGGAAATAGGGAAGGGAAGAGTTTTTAGGTCTGTAACTCGCTCTCCCTCAATATTACATCATTACGTGAGACAGTTCATTGCTTGCCCTTATTACTACTTAAGGGCAGAAAACAGCAACCAGTTGAATGTCAACAGGTTGGGGCATCAACTTTCAACACAGGTACAGGCAGACGGCCTGGATCCTAGCATTTACTCTGCCACTTCAAAATCTGAAAGGCAAAACGCTTCTAAGCTAGCAAGAGAGCTCCCCAAAAGGGAGTTGTACCGCTGTGGATGATTTTAACATTGGAAAAATCTTTGATCTATATCTCATACAGAAGCCCAATTCTTCAGGGGGGGCACATGCTAGGACCTGAGCATTAGCCCTTCCTCACAAGTCTGCCAGCCAAGATGGCAAATATCCCAGGGGAATATGAGCTCAAGGGGGAAAGTCTAGACAACTTAAGGAAGAAATCATTACAAAAATGAATTAAACAAATTGAACAGCCTATAATAGACAAGGTACATTGGTGGGACAAGGAGTTAAAATCAACATATTAAAATAACCCCAAAATATTTTTTTAAATATTAATGAAAATATTAGAAAAAACAAGGTCATCAAGGATGTTTTGCTTCTAGTAATTTTTCAGGTCAATCCTCCTGCCAGTAACAATAAAACTGCTGATCAAAATGTGAAATAAGTGCTGGGAGATAACAAACAGCAACCAAAGCACCAAGTTATCAACTGACTTTTGCTGTTAGCTGTTAAACAGCAAAATTGTAACCCAACTGAGCAAGTGGGCTCATTGATCACCACTCAACAGAAAGACCAAGTTCTGCTGCAATGGTCTTTTGCAGAGAAAAGGATTTAATTATAAGGTAGTCAGATAAGGAGACCGGAGACAAAGTTCAGATCTTTCTCCCCAAACAAAGGCTTGAGATGAGTTTTAAGAGGTGAGAGTAAGAAGAGGTTACACATATTTTAAGTTCTGAGTTTTTTAAATCTTACTACAAAGATTTAATTTAAA